GGGGCAGCACAGCGCGGGCACGGCGCGGCGTGGTCCGGCACGGCACAGCACGGCCCGGCATGGCGTAGCCTGGAGTGGCACGGCATAGCCCAGCCCAGCCCAGCATGGCTTGGCACGGCACGGCAGGGCATGGCACAGCCCAGGCCAGCCCGGCTCAGCTCAGCCCAGCCCAGCATGGCACAGCAAAGCCCAGCCCGGCATGGCACAACAAAGCCTGGCACGGCACAGCAAAGCCCAGCATGGCTCGGTGTAGCCTGGCACAGCACAGCACAGCATGGCCCAGTACAGTGTGGCACAGCACAGCCTGGCGTGACATGACATGACACGACATGACATGACACGGCCTCCCACGGCACAGCCCGGCACGGCCACCCCCAGCCCAGGCAGCCCCCAGGTTGGCCACCCCCTGCCCACACCCTCCCTCGCAGACACGGGCCGGGCCCTACCACGTTGGTGTCCTTCTCCAGCGCCTGCTCGGTGCCATCGTCCTCGTCGCCAGCGCCCGGGGGGCCGCTGCAGTCCAGCCGCACCAGGGCCCGGCACCGGTAGTGGCAGGTGAAGCTGCAGTCTGGGGACGGGGACAGGACCAGCGTCACCACCATGGTGCTGGGTGTCAGGGTCAGCGACTGTGCCGGGGAGGGTACCGGTGCCCGGTGGGGCAAGGGCTGGTGCACGATGCCAGTACTGGTGCCCGGTGCCAGCTGGCTGCCCATGCTGTGCCGGCGCCAGGGCCGCAGGATGCAGCACTCACGTGGGACGCGGTGCTGTGCCATGCTGCTGGCCGGTACCGCGGTGCCCGTGCTCCCTGCCTGGGCTGGCCAGTGTGGGTGCCTGACGGCTGGGATGCTCAGCGCCTGGTACTGGGATGCCCAGTACCTGGTGGGGGTATTTGGTACCAAGCTGCCTGGTGTGGGTGCCCAGTACCGGGATGTTCGGTGCCCGGTGGGAGTGTCTGGTGCCCGGAGGCCCAGTGCGGGTGCCTGGTACGGGAACACCTGATGCCTGGTGTGAGTGAGATGCCTGTGCCCAATGTGTGTGCCCAGTACTGGGATGCCTGTGCTCAGTGTGGGTGCCCAGTGCTGGGAGGCCTGTGCCCAGTGCGGGTGCCCAGTACTGGGATGCACGGTACCTGGTGGGGGTGCCTAGTACAAGGACGCCCACTGCCCGCTGTGTGTGCCCAGTACTGGGATGCCCATGCCCAGTGGGGGTGCCTACTACCGGGATGCTCAGTGCCCAGTGGTGGAATGCCCAGTACCCGATGGGGGTTCCTGGTGGCAGGATGCCCAGTAGGGGTGCCTGGTGGTGGGATGCCTGTTAGGGGTGCCCGGTGGTGGGATGGCGGCCCAGTGGGGGTGCCTAGTGGCAGGATGCCTGGTGCGGGTGCCCAGTGGTGGGATGGAGGCCCGTTAGGGGTGCCTGGTGGCGGGGTGCCCGGTGGGAGCTCCCGGT